GAGTCATAGAACTTAATGAAGAACCACAAGAAATTCCACAAAATACCACAAATAATATACCAGTAGAGACTGGACCATATGTAATACAATCTCTTCGGAGATCTGAAAGGACTTCTAGGGCGCCTGAGAGGCTATACCTATTGTTAGAGAACAATGAAGAGAGACTCCTTTTGGATAATGATCCAATAAGCTATGATGAGGCAATGTCGGGCATTGACTCAGATAAATGGCAAGAAGCTATGCAATCTGAGATAGATTCTGATACGGGATATTATATACATAAAGCTAAACCGGTCTTCTGGGCCGGTTTAGAAGGTCAAACCAAGAGGGAGCCGAGCCAAAAGGCGGGAAGATCGAACATTCAGGGAAACGGCCAGACTAATGACCGAGCAATCGATCGCTCGACAAGACTCATGATCGAGCAATCCATCGCTCGACCAGGATAATGATCGAGCAAGCTAGTCGATCCCAGTGAGATGATCGCTTCGAGGAATTCATAATCGACCTAGTTATGGGCGCGTGTACCATAGGCGCGCGTGGGAGCCTCTGACCGAAATCTCCAGAAAATATTTACCCCATGTGCTGGGAAATCACGTGTCAACAATGTATTGGGTGATGGTGATAACTACCTCTGACAACTCCCCAACGCCTTGCGCCACCTCTGACATGTGGGCGGCGTGTCAGAGTACGGACGGGCAGCTTGGGCAACCAGCTCACCTCATCCGGGCAGCTCTTAGGGCAGGTATCTCACCCCTATATAAAAGGGGGTGAGCCTTTCTTCCCAAACACATTCTATTCATTCTCTCAATTCCAGTATACTCATACACATACTGACTTAAGCATCGAAGGCTCTTCACCGGACACAACCCCCAGTGTGAGAGTTATTTGCAGGTTTCCGGCGAGGACCAAGATCTCTCCGTTCAAACCGGACCAGGACGCTTACACTTGCATTATTGGCGCCGTCTGTGGGGATTCTTTGTTCGAAAAGTTGTGTTGAAGCTCAGCTATGGCGGACGGAATTCCTAAAAACTTGCAGTCGACGTTCGACGAAGCTTGGACGACAACCAGGCCGTTGGGGCACGGCCCTCCTCCGGGTTTCTCTGGCCCGTCGCAGACTCCGGTCACTCCCGCACCTAACTTCCAAGGTGTAGGAGTGGCGACGGTGATTCCCGGTGGAGATGCCGGCTCCAGTCAGGCCCAAGAAGCTCGTGTGGCAGCGGCAGCGGCGATGCCACCACCACTACCACCAGATCCAACACAACAGCAGGGGGGAGTACTGGCACAAAGAGGAGTGCCACCACAGGCAGCTGTACAAACCCCGGGCCAACAAGTGGTGACGATGACCCGAGAAGAGATGTAGAGGATAGCGGTGGCCGCGGCGGCGCAGGCGGTGCAGCAAGTCACGAGTCACACATCCCACACCACCACCACGCCGGCCACGACAGCGGGAAACCAAGATGAGGATGTGTTCAGTTATGGAGAAGGAGGAGTTGTGAGGGATCGTGCGATGGAGCGAATGGCGGAGCACTTGCGCCAGTTGCAGGACAAGGTTGAAGGGAGGCCAGAGAGGAGAGCTCGAGGGCATCCTTTTGCTAGGGAGATCCTCGCTGCTCCCTTGCCGACCAATTTCAAGGAGACCAACTTGGTGTATGACGGGTCGTCTGACCCGTCGAGGCACGTGAGGACTTTTGAGAATATGGCTGTGTTACATGGATACTCTGATTCTGTTTGTTGCAGGGCATTCTTATCGACCTTACGCGGAGGAGCGCTTGACTGGTTCCATCAGTTACCTTCGGGATCGATTGTGGATTTTGAGGATTTTGCCAGCAAACTCACTAATCAATATTCGAGCGCGGTGGCACAAGAGAAGACTTATTTGACCCTGATGGCGATGAAACAGGGTGAGAAGGAGTCGTTGAGGAAGTATGTTGCTCGATACAATCAAACATGTTTGGAGGTGCACTCCACTTCGGATGAGGTGAAAGCGGGAGGATTGATAAGGAGTCTTCGAGCAGGGCCTTGCCGAACTTCTTTAGCCAAGACCCCGACTCGATCATACGAGGATGTTCTAAAGCGATGCAGGAAGTACATTAATCTGGAGGAGATGGAGATGGAGTTTGCAAAGCTCGAGGGGGTGGCTCAACCAGAACCAAAAAAGGAGCAGAGCCGGCCGAGAGGGAGATCACCAGGGAGGAATTCGCCTAAGAGGAACGAGCAGAGGAGGGCGTCTCCTCGAAGAGGAGGTAGGGATGCGAAAGGGGAGAGAAGAGACGAATGGCAGAGGAGGCCGATGGTGTTCGAGAGGCAGAGGTACCACAACTTTACGCCTTTGAGGAAAGATATGACAGAAGTGCTCGAGGCTATGGAGCAGAAGATGTCGACTGAGGATGTGACTTGGCCAAAGACAAGGTTCACCGGTCCGCTTCGACCCAGGTCGGATTTGTATTGTCGATTTCACAAGGATTACGGCCACACCACGGAGAACTGCCGGCATTTGAAAGATGAGATCGAGAGGCTGATTCGAGCAGGATATTTGAAAGAATTTGTGTATCATGATAGGGTGAAGGGGAAAGGAAAGAGAAGGTGTAGGGAAGACTCGGAGGAAAGGAGCGATAGAGATGAGGAGGGAGATGGTCGAGACGGTCGAGAAAAGAAGCCAAGGAGAGATGGTGATAAGGGAGGACATGGAGGGGAGGCCCCGATGAAGAGAGGAACTATTTACATGATTTCCGGTGGACCAACTGATGGTGACTCGAATAGGGCCAGGAAGGAGCATGCTCGGGCAGTGAAGAGGAAGAGAGAGGAGGTAGGAATCACGGCTCGCATGTCGGTGATAAGTTTTAAGGCGGGGGATGCCGAGGGAGTGGTCTTGCCGCACAATGATGCTTTGGTGATAACTGCGGAGGTCGCAGGCTTCGACGTGAAGAGGGTGTTTATTGATATCGGGAGTTCGGTAGATGTCATGTTCTATGATTGTTTCGTACAGATTAACAAGGAGCTGAACATGGAACTGAAGCCGGTAGCCACGACGCTCTATGGCTTTAATGGAGGAGAACTTATGCCGATGGGGGAGGTAAGTTTGCCCGTGGCATTGGGATGGAGAGAGTTGAGGAAGGTGCGCATGGTGAGATTTGTGGTTGTAGGGGCTGAGTCGTCCTATAATATCATCATGGGGCGGACGAGCTTGAACGCGTTCCAGGCGGTCGTATCCACGTACCACATGTCGATCAAATATCCGGTGGGCGAAAACGTAGGGGAGATCGCTGGGGATCAGCTCACTTCGAGAAGTTGCTACCAAACGACAGTCAGCAATAACAAACAATTGGCGAAGGGGCAAGCCGAGTCAAAGAGGGAGGAGATTAATCGACCAGGGGGCTCGAGGTCGAAGGAGGATAAGCAGAAAGTGGAGAAGGGAAAGGAGAAGATGGATATCCAACCGGGGGAAGAAGTCGAGGAGATCCAAATGATCGAGGGGTGTGAAGGGAGAAGGTTCAGAATTGGAAAGGATCTGGAAGAGCCTATTCGGTCAAGGTTGATCCAGTTGGTCAGGGAGTTCGCTGATGTTTTTGCCTATACAGCAGAGGAGTTAACGGGACTAAGTGCGGAAGTGATCGAGCACCGGCTAAACATCGACCTCAGCGTGAGGCCGGTGAAGCAGAAAAGAAGGCACCATGGGGCGGAGATGGACAAGATCATCGAGCAGGAGGTCGAGAAGCTGTTGGGAGCGCGACACATTAAAGAGATTCAGTTCCCCGAATGGCTGTCGAACACGGTGATGGTGTCAAAGGCGGAAGGGTAGTGGAGGATGTGCATTGATTTCCGTGATCTGAACAAAGCATGCCCGAAGGACTTATATCCGCTGCCCACAATTGATCACCTAGTCGACTCAACGGCAGGGTGCGAGCTGTTGAGCCTGATGGATGCCTCCCAGGGATATCATCAAACCCCTTTGGCGAGAGAGGATTGGAAGCGGGTGAGTTTCGTAACGAGTCGGGGGACCTATTGTTACGTAGTCATGCCGTTCGGCCTAAAGAACGCGGGTGCCACGTATCAAAGGTTGGTCGATAAAATCTTTAAGGAGCAGCTGGGGAGGAACATGGAGGTGTATGTGGACGATATGTTGGTGAAAAGTAAGGAGGAGCTGGATCATGTTCGAGATTTGAAAGAAACATTCTTAAAATTACGAAGGTATGGGATGAAGCTGAATCCTGCTAAATGCTCTTTTGGGGTGAGGTCCGGAAAGTTCTTGGGTTACTTGGTGACCAAGAGAGGTATTGAAGTCAACCCAGAGAAGGTTCGAGCTGTGATGGAGATGAAGTCGCCGACGAATGTTAAAGAAGTACAGATCTTAGCTGGGCGAATAGCGGGGCTGAGTCGCTTCATATCGAAGGTGGCGGAGAAGAGCGGCCCATTATTCAAAACGTTGAAGAAGAGTGCGGAATTCCAATGGACAGAGGAGGCACAGAAGGCATTTGAGGAATTGCGAAGGGTGCTGGCCAACCTTCCACTGTTGGCTAAGCCCATACAGGGCGAAGAGTTGGTGCTATACATTTCTATTGGAGAGAGGGCTGTGAGCTCGGTGTTGTTGCGAGAGGAATGAATAGCGCAATTCCCTATCTATTATGTGAGTAGAGTGATTCAAGGGGCTGAGACGAGGTATTCGGAGATCGAGAAGTGTGCTTTAGCTGTAGTTGTAACTGCTCGCAAGTTAAGACCGTATTTCTTGAATCATAAGG